AGAAGTTAAAAAAAAAAAAAAAAAAAATGAAACATGCACAGACGAATTGTTCACAATAAAATCGATTAAAAAAAAGAGATACAAATGTCATGCTGTACAATACATTTCATAACAACTTTAAGAAATATAAAAATTAGGCAGTTTTGTCTGAAACGTAAACTCAACACTAACGTCTCACTTAATAAACTGTTGTATAAAAGCAATACCAAACTCACAACTGTGCTGTTGGTCTGAATATCAACGTGACTGTAATGATCTGCAGTTGAATCACATCAGCACTCCTGTATTTACAGTTCCTTTCATTTTTATTCCTAAATTATGGAATTTTATAAGACTATTTTTGTTTCATTTTACACCAAATTACCATTTTCTGAAAATGTGCCAACTAAACCTACCTTTAGGGATGGTTAGGTGACATATTTCCCGACAAGTTATTATGTTGGGAAATAAGTGACCAGTATGCAAACCATTGAATTTAGAGATTTGCGGCAAACAACACTGTCGAATACTGTATACATGGTTAAGCACTTGACATCTATCTATCACAGAAATGAACTTTTCGCACATATTTCGATCACTATGGATAATGTCTAACATCAATCACATGTGAGCCATTAGTATACATAGAGATTACAGGAACAAAATTGGCAGCAAATCCTAGTGCAATTCGCATTTAAAGGAAATTATACAAACCACCAAGGGCCTTAAACTGTCAAATAACACGCTGCCATTATCACAGCAGCATGACTCTCAACGAGAAGTGCATGACAACAACAAAAGCTGCAAGAGTCGGTGTGTCAGCGAAGAATCATCGAGTTTTATAGCGCAAGAATAAATGAAATACGCCGCTTTGTAGCGTACTGAAATCTACATTCAGGTAACAATATGCCTAGAAACCCAAATGTGTTCCTAAAAGCTTAATTTTGCAACAAACTGGATTAAAAACAAAAGGTGACAACATGACCCGAGACAAGCAGGCCAACAATCAGCTAACGCTCAGTTCGCTAAAGTGTCACATTAAGCAGCCCGAGCCAGACTTACAACAGACTTACCGACTAATTTGACGGCTGGGTGTGAAGTACTGAATTCAGTCGCGACTGGTATGGGTGGGTTTTACAGTTTAGTTCTCGTTTCAGTCCTCCAAAGGTCCTAGCTGCGAATGAAAGAGATAAAAAGCCCTCCGTCGTGAGATTTTCTCCTCCCTTTAGCAACAGCCACAGCGCACAGCTGTCATCAAACGGGGACTCGCGCCACGCGCATGCGCAGTTCAAGCCTGCGCAGACCTTTTTTATTCCCAGAATATGTACACACATTTGTACAAACATTTACAATTCGCAACAAATATGAATGCAAAAAAAGTATACAAAAACAAAACAACAATTTGAATATGTTTTTGTTTTGTGCATGCGATTTGTTTTCTGTATTTACGATCACCGTTTTCTTTCACATTTATTCCCAGAATATGTACACACATTTGTACAAACATTTACAATTCGCAACAAATATGAATGCAAAAAAGTATACAAAAACAAAACAACAATTTGAATATGTTTTTGTTTTGTGCATGCGATTTGTTTTCTGTATTTACGATCACCGTTTTCTTTCACTATTATATTTATTTTTAATATTATATTTAAAATTTGAGGATTAATTACGTTCATTTCACTTGAACGCTTGAATTTGGCAGAATCATTGTAGATATTAAATTGTTTTGCCCAGCAGATGTCGCTACCAGCATGTCATGATTGAAAAATCCTAAATATGCTCTCTTTTGTAGAATGCTTTGTGGAAAAGTGAGTTGTATTCTCAGTTTTGGTTTGTAAAATCTTTTAGATACGACTCCCTTTCTGTTGATGTGACAATAATAATATTTTTGTGTTCCTAAATATTGCAGAGGGATCTACATGTTGGAAAAGATGTGCCTAAACATCTGCCACTTTTATACGTAGAGATTGATGTTTTATTCTAGTTCTGTTGTTTTTAGATTTCTTGTGTGTTTTTGTTTGTTTTAAACCACATTCTTAAACCAGTTGTGTGGGGTCACAGAGACCCCTGTACTGTATGCGTAATTATAAGAACTGTTGAAATGAACTTGTGCAGTTGTACGGTGTTTTAATCTGATATGGGGATTTTCTAGGAAAACTGTTAATAGATATATTTCAATAGAAGCTTTGTAATTGAAATGTAATTGATTTTTTAAAAACCTACATGCATGCAATGAACACATATAGGTTCTAGTGGAACTGTAAGCAAATGTATACAAATTAATTACAATACAAATTAAAGAAACTGTATCATTCATTTCTTTATTATGGACAATATAATTGCATATATAATAAATAACATCCTTATTTCATGAAAAAGTAACAAAAAAAGTGAATTGACACTTTTTATAAAATCACCTCTTTGATTAAACCTCTAAAATCATACACACATTAATTAAAATACAAAATAACATATTAGGAATTACATTTTTTTTTTATGTGCAGTCAATTGCACCACTGTACATTTGATTAATACAGTTGGACAACAAATTTAAATACATAGAATAGTATCCTTAAAAAGGTATTTTTATTTAGTGATATTTATATTTATATATTTATTCAGTAACAACAATCATTTTGTGCAATGTGATTGTAAAACTACAGCACCTAGGTGATAAAACTATAAACATATTTAGAAATTAATTTGTACTTCATCTTGTATATTTTGTCACTCTGTCTTAGAAATCAGCATTATACACACAATTCACCTCCTCCTCTCTTTTTTTTCTCTGAGAGTCCTTTAGAAGGATTTTTTTCTTGGTGGTCTTCAATCGTTTCATCGACAAACAACACAAAATAGCACAGAAGAGAACTATTTTGCTCCTTAGCTCTCTTCGCAGCTGTTCATATTGAACAATTTTATCTTGCAATCTCTTTCGTTGGTTCTGAAAGTTCAGAATAATGATGGTTTCTGCCCAAATGGACCTTTTAGTGTGTGTTTGGATCACAGACCTCACTAGCATGTTGGCTTACCAATGCGAGTCCTGCTTCGCAAAGCCTTCTTGCCTTTCTGTGCAGGAGGTAGAACAGGAGGCAAGGGCCCAGGAGGATGACTTACCACCTGGTCTCTCCTCAGCAACATCTGAGCGCTGTTGCTGTTGGCGGTCTCAGTCCCCCAGCCCCCCGGTGGCTCTGAATTGGAGCGGGGCCCCAGGGACAGAGGTAGGCAAGTTTTAGGGGTGATAGTGGTCATTGTGCGGTTGAGCACTCGTCTTCTCGATGTTCCCAGAGGAGGCATGCTGGGAGGTCTGTGCTTCTTGGTCTCCATGAATTCGACTGTGTGGTTTCTTGGAAGTGCCGAGGGAGTTGTGCGAGCCAGCGCTTGTATTCTCAGTAAGTTAGTTAGACGGGTCTCCAGGCCGCAGAGCGCTTGGTCTGTGTAGCTTTGCATCTCATGGCGAAGCTGAGCAAGCTCCTCTCTAAAATCCTTCTTTAATGACTCCAAGTTCAACAATATCTCTTCCAACAAGGTTACACATATTTCTTCTCCTCTTTCCTTACTATTTTCTCCGCTTTCTGTCATCCGCTCTTCTGCAGTCTCTTTCTGGGCCGCCTGATCCACTACGTTCTCCTCAGATGAGCTGATCTCAACTGTGAATCCAGGTTCTTCTTGTTCTTTCTTGTTCTTCTCTAGTTCCTTGGTGAGTTGGTTTACAACATCCAGTATGCCCATGCGCTGACCATCCAAACCGGCCTGCGCTCTGATCTGACTCCTCACCAAAGAGAAGACTGAATGGACTCTAGTCTGCTTTTCTTTTTCTGTAACTGCCTCTGCTGTTTCAATCTTCTCCTCTATTTCTTCATGAACAGCATGCTCCGCAGCTTCAACCTGCATGTTTATTTCCTCCTTCTCTTTGTCATCTCTGCTTCTCCTCTTTAGCAACCACTTCTCCAGGATGGCTGGATTTTCTGCTGTCTGCTCATTCATGGTGTTTAGCTCTATTTGTTCTCTTTACTTTACTTGTCTCCTCTCCTCATGCTTGTTTTATAATCTTTTTACAGCTTGTCTCATGCTTTATTTTCTCATTGTTGTTTCTTTGTTCTCCTCTGATCTCTCTTGTGACTTGTGTTGAGATCACATTGAGCTAAGAGCTGCACTGAATTTCCCTCAAGAACTGTAGCTGTCCAATCAGCGTTGGCTACAGATTGTCACTCACTGTTCTCTGGGGAAACATACATGTGCATCAACACCTTTCCCCAAACACTTACATATCTGCTCATTTAAATTTCAGCTGTTGCAATTGTACTGTATGTGTAAGGTGAAATACCCACTCTCAGTAGGCTTGGAGTTCTGAGAATACATAGTACATGTTTCACACTACACTCTTAAAAATAAAGGTGCTTCAAAAGGTTCTTCAAGCGATGCCATAGAAGAACCATTTTTGGTTCCACAAAGAACCATTCAGTCAAAGGTTCTTTGAAGAACCATCTCTTTCTTACCTTTTTATAATCTGAAGAACCTTCTTTCGCCACAAAGAACCTTTTGTGAAACAGAAAGGTTCTTCAGATGTTAAAGTTTTTTATGGAACCATTTAGACAAAAAGGTTCTTCTATGGCATCGTGAAGCACCTTTATTTTAAAGAGTGTACAGTGATTTACAGTAGCAGTAGCAATGTGACCATTTGCTACAATTTTGAGAAGCAAAGCAAATGTTATCTATCTATCTATCTATCTATCTATCTATCTATCTATCTATCTATCTATCTATCTATCTATCTATCTATCTATCTACCTACCTATCTATCTATCTATCTATCTAATCTTAAATGAAACACTTGTTGTAGTCCTGTGGTTTTGGATAAAAGTGTTTGCTAAATGAGTAAATGTAAATAATTATATATAAGTTACATCACACCTGATATAACTGTCCTGAGTATCAACATTGTTCTCAGCATCATCTCAAACACTGTTAATGACGTCCCCAGTGGGTTAAAAGCATTTAACAAACTATTCAAAATGGGGGAGTGGGGCTGCAACAGCAAACCTGATGTTTACCTTTAAGATGCATTTTCTAGTTGGAAGGGGAGTGACAGGGAGGAGTTAAAATTGTAGGCATCAGAATGACACTGCAGTTCTTTAGAATCATTTACATTAATTGTTACCATATTGAAATGAACTCTGGCGAATATCTATTAATTTAATTAAAATTAAGTTAAAATAACTAATTGCATCAATAATTATTTAATTGTTTAATGAAATAGTAGTGTACATTTAAATAGAAATACAAACTCAATTAAAAGGAAATATAGTTCTGGGTGGAATTATAGTAGAATTTGTTATATTTATTATTATTAAAGTTATAATTATTATTCATTTTTGTCAATTTAAGCATTAATAGATAGGTTTAACTTTCAATTTGACTTAAAATTTACCCCAGATAGAAAAAAGTGTGTCAAACTTCATGACTACAGAACTGAATGGTTTGGTCTTGCATACTGGCATGGAAAACTACATAAGCAACTCAACTGGCCAATAGGGTTGAAGGAACTGTGTGCCTCCTCTTTTTCTTGTAGACAAACAACTTCACAAAACATGAAAAAAGAAAACCACTCAAAAAAAAACACAGCTTATCTTCAAAAAGAGACAAAAATCTGAAGATCAATTATTTTGGGGTATATTTGACTGATTTTGTATGTTTAGAGATGACTTTGTTTACTTTGGACGTACTCTTTATTACAAACTGCAAGTATAGTTTTAAAATCATAGTCATTATATATTAAACTAATTGTATTATTACTTGATAAGATTACATTAGAAATCATAATAGTATATTAAACAGTGTAGTAACTTCTATTCAACAGTAGAGCATCTTGATTGCTGCTCTCCTCCTCCTCTCTGGAGCGTGAGTGGGCGGAGTCTCACATATTACAAATTCACATCTGCAGCATTGGCCCTCACCTCTCCTCATTTCTGCCACTGACCCAAGAAGCTACCTTCAAAATCCACTAAAACATGGTAAGACTTATTTTTTAAGACGACTTTGATTTGCAAACTGACTGTCCGAACATGCTTTCATTTCTCGTTTCTTTTTCTCTAGACATCCTACACTGACAAAGGTGAAAAGGTAGGTCATTATTGCAACTTGCCGTGTGTGTGTGTGTGTGTGTGTGTGTGTGTCATAATTCTTCTCTGATATCTCTTTCCTTATTGTTTTAGTATGGTGATACCACTCATACATTTGTAGAGCGGGCAGGATATAATGGGATCTTCCTCCCAGGATTCCATGCTCCTCTGTTCTGTGACCCTTTCTTGGCAAAACTGTGAGTGTAGTATTCAAACTGTATGATAACATGTAAATATGGTTAAATTGTGTTTGCTATTGTTCAGTGGTGAAATGATGTGTCTGCATCTTATCATATAAGAGGTCCATATCTCAGATAACACTTGGATTGTTTTCTATCAGTGTCATTTTCTTTGTCTCTAACGTGATTTTTCTTTCCCAGGCCAAGCGGGAAGCTGGACTTCATTGACCATGTGGTTGGAAATCAGCCAGACAATGAGATGGTGCCAATAGTGGAGTGGTATAAAACTTTTCTAAACACATTGTTGAACTTATTCCAAAATTCGTAAATATTGACAGCAACAGACCTCTGTGCCAGGGTTGTTAAGACTGAAAAGCATAAAAGAAGTCACGAAGGTACTCGCTCAGAACAGCGCAAGTCTTTAGGGGGAAACTCCCTATCCATCCCATCCAGTCAGAATACACCGAGAGCCCCTCCCCAGTGATCCCCAGAGTGTCTCCATGGTGAGGATGGATTGAAGACAGAGAGGAAAGATCAGAAGAGAGTCTCAGAGAGAATAGATGGAGACCGCAGATGGGATGGTTGCATTTTAATCTGTGGTAGTGGATGACTGATTATTATGCAAGAAAACACCATAGTAATTATGACTCAGCAAAATGATTTTCAAAGGGTCTGAGACACCATCTGGAGACAGTTAGACACAGCACAAAGGGGGAGAAGGAGGAAAAGAGGGTGGTGAGGGGTGGGAATAGCAAAATGATCTAAACCAGACCACATCCCATCATGTCCAGCTCTTGAACATACACTGCAGAAAATTATTTGTTTTTCAGAACATATATTCTTAAACCAAGATACCTATTTTCTAAAGAAAATTATCCAAATTAAGTGAGTTTATTGGGGTAAGAAAAATATTTTAAAATGTAATTCAAAGGGAAAACAGTATTGTTTTGGGCTTTTTTATGCATAAATACTTATTATTTTAAATAATAATAAATTATAAAGGAATAAAAATAAATAAATACATTTAGGTAATTTTATTTTTATTTTTATAAAAACATTGAATGACTCTAACCTTGTCCATAACTATTGCTATTCATTTTACAGATGATCCCTTATCACTTGTGTTTTTGCCATTGCTTTTCACATCAGCATCACTGTGTTAAATTGACCTGTGTGTGTTTGTATGAAGGTATCAGAGGAACCTGCTGTTCCACAGATACTGGTCTGTAGATGACAAGCAGTTACAGACTGAATACAGTGCGCTGCGCTCCATAGTAGTGGCCAACTATGAAGAAACTGTGAAAATGCCAATTAATGAACCAGCCATGGGGAAGCGCAAGTCCCAGATTCAGGCATGTATTGTAGACATGACATCTACTGTACTTGCATTCATCTATACAATGCATGCATCTATTTATCTGACTATTTTTCTCCTTTTAGGAGTATGTAGAGTACTACGGTGGTGCAGGGGTTCAACACATCGCCATGAACACCTCTGACATCATCACAGCAGTGAGTAAACCACAGCAATAAGAGGTTTTACAACATTGATAGAGAAGGCAGAAGGTAGTGTGCAAAGGTTTAAGTTTACTTGGCATTTTGAATATATTTTCAGATCCGTAACCTAAAGGAACGTGGTATGGAGTTCATGGCAGTGCCTGACACTTACTACCAGCAGCTCAGGGAGAAGCTGAAGTTTTCCAAAGTCAAAATTGTTGAGGACATCAGCATATTGGAGGTAAGTAAATATTTCCAGTTCAAGTAATCAAAGTGTTTTATCAGCTATTAAGACGGAGAAGCAATGCACAGTCTAAATTTGACCTTTTAGTTGAAGGAAATGCAGCAAAGAGTAATTGGCCAGCTAAGAGTCAATATGAATGCAAATGTCTGTGGCAAATCTGAAACCGAATGTGAAAATAGTGTGGCATTGCTTTATACAGGAACTTAAAATTTTGGTGGATTATGATGACAATGGCTACCTACTCCAGATCTTCACCAAACCAGTACAGGACAGACCTACAGTGTTTCTGGAGGTAATCCAGAGACACAACCACCAAGTAAGCAAGAATCTATCAATAGTTCATGAATTGTTTCAGAGCAAGCATTCATCATATATGTAAATCTGCATTTAACTGATTCAAAACCATTCTTCAGAAATGTCTCCTAAATGCACAGATATGTAGCATTTCTTACTACGTGGAAACAACATAAATAACAGTATTCCTTTCTTGTTTTAGGGGTTTGGTGCTGGAAATTTCAAATCTCTGTTTGAGGCAATTGAAGTAGACCAGAATGCCAGAGGAAACCTCACCATCCTTACACCTAATGGCACATCACAGAAACTCTGAATTGGCTCTTTCCTATTTACAGTAAATGCATGGTACACATATTTTGAAATATGCATAGTAAACTCTAATGTTTTACTTTGTCATATTTTTTTTGTTTGGCTTTAAAGCATGTGCCAATATATTCTGTTCCCATTGCAGTTGTTTCTGTAACTACAGACACATCTGATCTTGTGGACCTTCAGAAAAATCTAAATGTCTCATGGACATTTCCACCAGAGTTCCATTTACATCATATCTCAAATTATATAGTATATTTTAACATGAAATAATATTATAATATGGTTGTGGAAATGATATTTTTGGAATAAAATTTCTTCCTGAGGTCTATTTCATTGTTTTACGTATCCTGTATTTTCACACATACTGTATGCATAATTTACAATATTACATCTTGATTGGAAATGAAGCACAATAAAAAGATTCCTTTCATGAGAATAGAACCTTTTTCTTTGATTTTAACACAGCACACTGAAATCTCACTGAAAATAACGCCACAGCAGTCGACAACGACAGTCGTAATTCTTGTCTATGTAATCGTGTCTTTAAAAATCGATTTACTATGAATAAAGTTAATAAAGACCAAACATGGATTTGTATCCTAATGTCTAGTATTCTTTTCTATTTTGATCGAAATACAATGTTATGCTCGTCTTGTCATAGCACGAGCGAAATGGGGGTTAAATAGGTTTAAGGGTTAAATAGGCGTATTCAACATAGCTGTCCTCCTTGCTAAAATGAACTTTCAGACTACCCTAGCAACGTTTTCTTTCAAAAGCACCTAGCAACAAACTTAGCCATTTTTTTTTTCTTTTGATAAGTGACTCAGACAATAAAAAGGCACACATTTTCCATCCAAATTACACAAAACGAGGAAATCAAAGATGCCTAGCAGTACACACATCACGTGAATTGAGATGGCTGCTATTTGCAATTGTTCCAATTTAATCATAATAATTGCTCATTTATGATACACTTGTTAGCAGCTTCTAGCTTGCACCTGCGTTTGTTACACATTTCTTAGAGTGTAGCATACTAGCTAACTACTAATGATTGTTGATCAGTCAGTACACTGTAAGAAAAATGGAAAATCTTCCAGGACATTATCTATCATCCATTGTAACCCTATAACCCGAAAACACAATGCGTAATTTAAAATGCAGGTAAAAAACCATTACGGAAAATTCTTTCATACTAACATAGTAGATTGTGTCTTATTTTTACAGACTTTTCTTGGAGTGTAGCATACTAGCTAACTACTAATACACTGCTTAAAGCATAATTGTTGAGAACGTGCAGTTTACTAGCTATTTAAAAAACTTTAATTGTAATCATTCAAAAATGTGTAAGTGTTCAATAATTCAATGTATTTAAAAATAGTTATTTCTATTTTAATATTATATTATGCATATTATTTTACAAACCAATCTAAATGAACATATATAAAATATATATATTGTGATGCAGTTTTGCGTTGTGATTACGCAATAACATCACAATAGCAACTTTTAGCAACAATTTGACCTTCCTTTAGCAACTTGCTTTGAAAATTAGTAGGCAAATTAGCCTACTTGTGATAGTTACAATATGCTTTGTTTGTCTTTATGCTATGTATACGGAAGTGAGCAAAATTACAAGGTAATCACATCTCTTGTTTGCATTATTGTAATGAAAGTATATTTGTAATTATTCACTGCCAAGTGTAATACTAAATAGTCTATTTAGAGTAAAGTTTGATAGCATGCAGAAAAAAAAAAACATTAATTTGGAAAAATACATATACTTTTTATTTTCATTTATATTTCACAATAAAACTCATGAAAGCATATTTAACTTTAATCCAAACAATCTAATAATTAACATGATGAAAATCACATTTTACCAGTGAACTTCAAATATGCCCTGAAGTTTTTGCTCTGGACATTTTCCGAATTTAAACACGCAGAATATAAAACCTGAGCTTCTGGAAATGATTACTCATTTACCTTCATGTTAGATTGTCATTTGCCCCTGTGAAAAATGACAAATGTCTGTGACAGTCAGGAATATGTTACGTCCTTGTGAATATATTTAAAACCCTTCAGGTTCATGTTAACTGAAACATGTTTACTGCTAATACTTTGAGTGTACAAGATGAGTCCTTGTCTAATTGAGGGTTCCTCTACAGTTCTCCGCAGCACACAGGCAGGGGATCTTCTCATCCTCAATAGGGAATTTGTAATCGTAAGTGATCTCTTCATTTACATTAACAGATTGCCGAGAGTAGATGACTATCTTCTTTTGCGCTTCGACAGTGACGATTTTGGCATAGCAGTTTGGCTATGGAAGGAAAAACACATATAACCAGTAAACATAGAATGTTAAAATGGAAATTAATTACAGTCATACTAAACACTAAACAACAAAAATAATTATTTGGCATATTGACAATGCATTATGACTAGTTACTTCAAAACACATAATTTTGGTCTTACATTGCAACTGTGATTGATGAATCTTGCCAGGTTACCGCACTTGGTTGCATCAATGATAGTGTCCTGATCGACCCGGAACAGATAACTGCTTCCAATACCTTCCTTTTCATAGCGCCTTTCACGCATGTCTGCGATCACCTACAAGCAGAATTTGGGATATAATAAAAGAAAATAAAAAATATTCAGGAACTTGACATTTATAGCTTAAGAAAAATAAATCACTGTTTTAACTCATAAGTGCTGAAATATCTATATATGTTTTAAGTTCAGTTTTGTGTATTGTGTATCTCACCTGTCGAATGCTCTGGCCTACATATTCAATTATCATTTCATCTGCAGCAATGGGTTCCTCTGCAAACAGCCCCCAGTCATGAATACGACTCCTGCCAAAACGCAGCTTCTTCTTACGGAACTGTAAAGAGGGAAAATATTTACACTCCTGGTGGACCAAAAAAACGAAGTAGCAAAATAGTGCTGTTGTGGAAGATTTTGGTGTTTCTGGTGATTCTAGCATTTGTTATGCTGTTGTTGCAACAGCTGGTCTTACCTTGAGTTGGTTGAATTTGAGGAGGTCGCTGTCACAGCTGAAGGAGGACAACAGGCGACGCTGTTCTGCTCGGAGTTCTGATCCTGATCTGGATGAAGATGGAATCTGAGCTGGCACACTTTTCCCCTGCATAGATCAGCACATAATCTCAAATTACTGTAAATTACTTTTAAAGGTGCATTGAGTCATGACATTCAAGACAAAACATCTTGGTCTTGGACTTTATACTGACACCTACTGGTGTGGATACATAAAGTTTTTGTTCGTGACAGTAAATTGGTCAAACTGCACATATGTCATAACATGGTGGCATGGTAGAATAAAACTGTTTTCTAGTCTATTTTTTTTCCTTCGTGTTTTCATTTCATGTGAGCTATACTTGCAATTTCTTTAGGAGTAAAACTTTTTTGAAGTGAGAAAATGACTAAGTGCATTTTTAAATCACAGACATAATGTAGAGAAATAACTGATTGTATTTTTAAGGTCTTTAAACATGTTTATATATTTACAAATGGATGGTAACCGTAACAGACGAATAAATAAAGCATAATTTTCTTTCGTGGCCTAATGGTTAGAGAGTCGGACTCGTAACCCAAAGGTTGCGGGTTTGAGTCTCGTACCAGCAGGGATTGTAGGTGGGGGGAGTGAATGTACAGCGCTCTCTTCCACCTTCAATACCACGACTGAGGTGCCCTTGAGCAAGACACCGAACCCCAACTGCTCCCCGGGCGCCGCAGCAAAAATGGCTGCCCACTGCTCCGGGTGTGTGTGTTCACTGCTGTGTGTGTGCACTTTGGATGGGTTAAAATGCAGAGCACTAATTCCAAGTATGGGTCACCATACTTGGCCACACATGTCATGTCACTTTTAATTTTAATAAGTTTTAGTAATGTTGTTATGTGCTTTTGTCATTTTTCTTAGTTTTGGTGGGTTTATATAGCTTTGATTAAATTTTATTTCAGTTCCAGTCATTTTAGTATTTCAACTGCAACTTATTTCATGTGGCTCCAAGGCAGCATAATTTTTGTGCTGCATCAAGTTTTTCATATAATGTATGTTTTATTTTATTTCAGCTTTATTTCAATTACCAAAAACAATTTGTTAAGGTTTCAGTTAACAATAACAACACTGTTTCTTTCTGACCTGATTATCTGAAATAAACTCTTCTGAAGCAGAAAGTTCATCCCTGAGATATCGCAGCTTTTCCCTCTTGCTGATGAAGTAATAACCCTCACTGCGTGCACAGCCTGTCACATGATTCCTGATTCCATCCCGCCATCTACTAGGCCTGTCGTCAGGAGTGCTGGTTGGTGCAATAGAGTCAAGGAGCAAACAACAGAGCAATATGCATATGGAAAATAGATTTGACAATATATTTGAACATTTTTTCTATATATTTTACTACATTTTAGTCCACTGGATAAAAAATACATTATCAAGTACTGTGACTAGGATGTGTATTATGTGTTTAAGGATATGAGGATGTGGGACCCAGTGTGTGCTGTTCAACCAATCACATTCTTTATCCTCCACCACAAGCCTCTCATAGGTGGCCTTCAGGTGATTGATCTCCTCCTCATTCACCCCTTTAGTCCACACAGCATGGAGGACCAACTTCTCTCTTCTCTCAGAACGTGGAGAGAAGATGAGGCGACGTGTCGATGATGGTTCTCTCCACCTTCTCCACACATAAGAAGACTCCTGAAGCCTTCGATTCTCATTCGGTTGGTGTTTGTCTTCTACTGAACACTTCTCTCGATGGGCTTCTGGTGGTTTTTGTTCAGTCCTAATATCTGAGACACAATCCAAAGGCCTCAAAACCCGATTTGAAGAAGATTGTGTTGTCACATTGTTCACTTGTAAGGGCGAATGAGTATTTATATTTGTGTATTTTCTTGTCCGTTGTAATTCAATCATTCGTCTTCTCATTTTAAGCCGCTCTCGCCGCCTTTTCAAGCGTGCCGTGTCTAAACAAGCTCTTCGATGTGAGGAGATATGACGGTCGTGAGGTGCATGACTACTATTTATACTGAAATAGTTAGTTTGCACCTCTGAGTTGTGATGATGGAGTGCACTAGCCCACAGCTCTCTATGGGTTTGGAAAGGTGGAGATGGAGACATGTCTCTCCCTGGAGTCCTCGGGATCCCACTGTCAGCACATGGAGAGAGGACGGGGTTACAGGGGCTTCCCATTCTCAGTGAGGTCTCTTGCAGTAATCCCGCTGGTGTTATTCCCTCAGAGTGATAAACGTGGCGTGGTCCATTGACCCGGCCTGGTGTTTTTGGTATTTCCTCATATGTGGGGTATGAGGAAGGGAGAGGAGGACAGTGGTAAATGGGTGAGGAGGAAAGTTCCTGGATACCTGTGGGAGAAGGAGAAGGAAATCTATCACAGGTACAGACACATAACATACTCTCACAGTGACACCAACATTTTTGCTGCAATATCTTGCAATATACAGAATACAACTGTCCAAATGTTTGGGGTCTGTAAGATTTTCTGTGTTTTTGAAAGAAGTCTCTTATTATTCTCACCAAGGCTGCAATTTGATCAAAATAACAGTTTGAAATTCAATTTTAAATAACTGTTTTATCTGCATTTATTTAATCAAATACAGTAATAGTTTTGTATTTGAATATATTTGAAATGTAATTTATTGCTTGACAGCAAAACAAAATTTTCAGCATCATTACTCCAGTTTTTAGTGTAACAAGATCCATCAGAAAACATTCTAATATGCTGTTTTGCTGCTCAAAAAGCATTTCTTTTTATTATCAATATTGAAAACAGTTGTGCTGATTTGTGGAAAATGATTTTATACATACATATATAAATATATATATATATATATATATATATATATATATATATAATTATTTATTAACAGATATCAATGAATACCTGTATCTGAGCGATCTTCATCCTCTGTGATACCACTAGGATCAACTTTCATCTCATCACCCTCCTGAAAAACACAATGACAACATGAAACTCGTGTCCATTTGTGAGAGGGAACTGATCACAATTTCAGCTTAAATATTACTTTTTATTAGGGATGCACCAATACCGATACCCGATACTGAGCTCCTGTATTCGTACTCATACTCATTCAAATGCCCCGATACCAAACGCTGATACCACACAGCATGTGATAAGTGCCATATTCAGACAAAGAAACACAGACAACAGACAGCAGAATGGAGTTATTAGAGATTAAAGATGTCTACGAAGTATATGTATGCAATGAATATAAAACATTCAGTATTAATGCCTGGATAGCTGATTTGCGCCAGCTGGTAAGCGAGGCACGCTGAGTGTATTGAGCGTGCGGCGGCGCAGATGTGCGAGCTTGTCGAGTGAATATATCTTTCTCACAGACATCACTGGAAAGTTTGTAGTTCAGTCGGATATGTCAAAAAGAAGCAAGTAAAACAATGCACAAGTTACTTAATGGTAGGGAGGGAGGGAGAAAGAGAGTGCACACTTCTGTTGTGTGATCTTTATTGATGTTCGCTCACTTACACTGCACGTTTCAGATGA